TACTTGGATGGGAGACCACCAAGGAAGACTTTGTAGAGGAAGGCAACGGCCAAACCACCTCTGCTTAGTCGCTTGCCTTGAAAACCTTATAGGGTCGCCATACGTCTGCTGCGACTTGACAGCAGTCTACACACATACATGCGCTCCTTCTCTATCACATCACACTGTTGGCTCAACGCTGCATTAAGAACAAACTCGAGGGTGTGCCCAGGCTGGAATGAAGCCTGGTCTACTTCTTTGGACACCTTCCATAAAATTGTCTGTACCTGATGGAACTTATGGATCCCAGACTGCCAACCATCGAGACTATAGGAGCGGGATGAGATCAATCCTGAGAAGCCACTGATATAAAAAGAATTGTGAGGACCACACCTATAGGTTTCCCTCCTAAACGAGCCCCAAAGGGCATTGTTAAAAAGAATGAAGATGATTACTCCAGGTTCTCTTGTGCCAGGAAGCTACCTCTGATAAGTTCCTCAGGACAATAATGAGTAATCAGGGCTATTTTTGGGCAAGAACGCACAGGAACGGAGTTCCGGCTGGCTCCCGAGTTGGCCACGCCCAGCAGGAACTCATTAGCCTAATAGGCCACAACTCATTTGGATTGGCTACATTAGGGGTGTGTGGCCTAACATGCAAAGGAGTTTAAAAGCCCTGGGTTTTGACCACAAACAAGGTCAACAGAATAAGAAGCAAAAGGTGGGTGTGTCTGGATGACCAGACTTCTGGTAACATGGTGGTGTGGCCTAATGGGCTAATGAGTGGTGCTTTCGGGGTGTGGCCTAATAGGCTAATGAGTTCTTGCTGTTGGGTGTGGCCTATTATGCTAATGAGTTCCTGCTGGGCTTTTTCTACAAAAAGAGCCCTGTGAGTAATTAGGATGCCATCTTCAAGCCAGTGGATCTAAAGTCCCCAAACCTTCTATAGGGTTCATTTACATGACGGCAAGATCATGTCCTTAGCCTAGTTGACTTAGATGGTCAACTTGTATATGGACTATACTACGTTAGGTAGTAGGTGCATGGTCATATGACTGAGGTGGAGCGGCCGTGGCTCACTGGCAGAGTATGGCAGAGACCCTGGCAAGTGCTTGGGAGGGAAACCTCCAAGGAATACCAGGACTGGTACACAGAGGCAGGCAATCAAGCCACCTCTCTGAAACGTACAAACCCCACTAGGGGTCGCCAGAGGTCACCATGACTTCCAGGCATGCAAGCACACACACACACACACACACATCAAATTATGTGCTCTGTCTTTGGAGCTATGAGGAGATACAGTCGTTTTACCTTGCGAGACAAACGGCTAAGGGTGTATATAGGAGACAAATCAGTGAATTCCTTTCCCATCAGACTTGAAACCCAAAAGAAGGAACTGGTTTAGGAAGTGGGCTCCCTAAGGGTCCCAAGTGAGGACTCCTACGAACAAAGGGAAACTGCTGGATTGGAACAGAGATTCACCCAGAGCATCTTTCTTCACCCAAAGAGTGATTAACACTTGGAATTCACTGCCACAGGAAGTGGTGGCGGCTACAAGCACGGACGGCTTCAAAAGGGAATTAGATAAGCA